CAGAGCTTCACGCATTGTCGTTTCCAAAATGCGGTTCTCGCTGCAGCGCCGCACACACTCGTTCAAAACATGTGCAAGGGTGTCGCGGATTGGGGGCGAGTCGTTGTCAAAATGTGGTCCTCGCCTTAGCGCCGCGCCCATTCGCTGTACACGTTCGCAAGAGCTTCACGGATTGAGGGCGGCTCGTTCTCAAAATGTGATTGTCGCCTTTTATCGCCGCGCACATTCGTCTTGAACAGTTGCCAGCGCTTCACGGATTGGGGGCGGCTCCCTTCCAACATGTGGTTCTCGCTTTAGCGCCGTGCACATTCGTTCCAAGAGTTCGCAAAAGTTGTACGACTTCTCATGGTGAGCGTACCAGAAACGGTGTGTAGGATCGATTCATGATTGTCTGGGCGCAGCAGTTACGTGGATTCGCTGTGTTGAAGCCCCAGGAGCTGCTTTCTGGCACGATTCAGGATCGCCAAGACCTCACAATCAGGTTAACTCGTGGCGTTGAAGTTCTGAGAATTGTGTTTGGACACGCTTCCGGATTTTTGCACGGATCTGCCCAAACGGGGCACTTGATTCAGCGGGAAGGACTCTTTGTAGGGGCTTGTGAAGAGGGAGTTTGGAGGGAGAGTGTATTCCAACATCGCTGATGAGTCTTAGGTTTAGACTGGTCCTCCTGCACCTCCTCCTCCTCCTTCCTCCTCCTCCTCCTCCTCCTCCTCCTCCTCCCTCCTCCTCCTTCTCCTCCTCCTCCTCCTCTTCCTCCTCCTCCTCCTCCTCCTGCTACTCCTCCTCCTCCTCCTCCTCCTCCTCCTCCTCCTGCTACTCCTCCTCCTCCTCCTCCTCCTCCTCCTCCTCCTCCTCCCAGGGAGGAGGATGGAGGAGCAGGAAGGAAGAGGAGCAGGAGGAGGCGGAGGTGGAGGACTAGGGAGGAGGAGGAGGAGGAGGAGGAGGAGGAGGGAAAGGTGGATGGCTACTTTCACCCAGTCACTCAGGAGCGAAATACGGACGCACACTTGCAGGAATCCACGCTGGTTTCGAGAGCACGCACTGCCCGAAGGTCCGTACCACGCGGCCAGTGCCGCGGATCGGGGGGGGCCGTGTACACGTACGTAGCTGGGCGCGTACGTCCTTTTTGTGGGCTCCCTGCTCCATGGAGCGCCTGGACCGCCGCAGGCCCAGGGGAGGAGTCGCAGGCGACGGCGGGGCAAAAACAGCCCGGGGGCGGGCACCGCACGCATTCGCCCGGGAGCCTCGCCGGAGGCACGGGGGCCATCGGCGCCCTTGGATGCACGTGCCGCCCCCTCCCTGGGCTGTTCGCCCCCCCGCCGTCGCCCGCTAAGGGAGGAGACAGAAAGGAAGAGGAGGAGGAGGGAGGACGAGAGCGATGGGGGAGGAGCAGGAGGATGAGGGGTTGGAGGCACCCGAAATAGCCAGAAGGAGGGCCCCAAGAAGCATGCCAGAGCCTACCATGCCGCCCGAAGGGCTCCAGTGCGCGGAGTGGATGGACCTCCTCCTCCTCCTCCTCCTCCTCCTCCTCCTCCTCCTCCTCCTCCTCCTCCTCCTCCTCCTCCTCCCCCTCTTTCTCATCAGATCACATGCGGCTCAGGCTGTCCATTGCAAGCGAGAGCACGCGGGATTGAGTGCCCCTTTTTCTGCACGCGAGGTGGCGGCTGTTCTCGTTTCCTGACGGCGGGGTGTTTCCTATATCTCCAGCCGCACTGCGTGACAAGAGGTGGGCGAACTCAGCGTGTAGGGTGTGTGGTGCTTTGTCGACGACTGGAGTCCTGGTCATTTCCTGA